ACCCCCCGCCTGCCTAGGCACACCGTCCCAAGTCTGGCGCGTCCCCCCGACTCACCCATTCCAAGGCCTTGATGAAGCCCAGCGGCTCCTTGGCGGGTCCCAGGTTGAACTGCAGCCCGGACATTTTCTGCCGAGAGAGAGAAAGAAGGCGAAGGGGTGGCGTCTGTCGCCCGGGAAGGGAGGAGCGGGGAGGGGAGAAAGGGGAACGATCCCGGGCCGCCGCCTCCTTCTCCTACCTGAGTCACTCGCTCCATGCTTGGACTGCCCGTTCCGGGGGCCGCCGCGCTCACTCCGCCCCGGGGCCGCCCAGCTCGGGCCAAGGGCCGAGCGCTGGCCAGCTGGCCTCTCCCCGGCCCGATCGCACGTGACTAACACCGCCACCCTGCAGGGCGCCCGCGTTGCCATGATTCTATAGCGGGACTTTGGGTTGCCATCCTCCTGGTGGGGCCTGGAGTTCTCCCGGAATTATTGTTCCCCTGGAGGTAAGGTTGCCAGGTCCTTCCCACCTGGCTACTGCCAGGGTATAGGTTGGTGGGTTGTTTGTTTTTGCCAGATCTAGGTTGGGCAACCCCTAAAGATTTGGGAATGGAGCCTGGGGAGGGCAGGGACCTCAGTGGGGTACAATGCCATAGAGTCTACCCTCCAAAGCACCCGTTATCTCCAGGGGAACTGATCTCTGTAGTCTGGACTGAGATCCTGTGGTTTTGGGAGATTCCCCAGGTCCCACCTGGAGGCTGGCATTCCTACGGAGGAAATGGCAACTTGAGAGGGCCAGTCTTTAGACAATCACGACCCTACTGAGTGCCCTCCTCGGGCTCCGCGCCCCCCCCCCCAATCTCCAGAAACTTAGCGCGCCAGAGCTGGCACCCCTGTTTAAAGTTCTTTTTGCAAGGTAGGGGGGCCGACAAGATTCAACAGGTGCCGCTTTGCCCAGCCATGGCAGCGTGGGGCAGCTTCACCGGTTGACTTTTTTGTTTTATTTCAAACACGGATTTGTCACAGGCGCCCTGCGGTGCGGTGGCAGAGATAGGCTGTGAGAATGTTAAATCAACAGCATTTTTAAAGTCAGCAGAAAACCACTCAACTGTGAGCAGAGCAAACTGATATATCAGAAAGAATGGCATCTAAGCCTTTGTCGATGAATTAACATCCATCCAGCTTGTCCTCATATTAGACGAGATAGTTTCTAGTGTTTGTCTTCTTTTAAAATACTGTGTGTATACACATACAGGTACATTCTAAAGTGTGGGGAAGTCCCACCCCACTTTATGGAGACTCCATAGGGTTTTCAAGGCGAGAGACAAATAAAGGTGACTTGTCTCTACAGACACCCTGGCCTTCCTCGGTGGTCTCCCATCCAAATACTAACCAGGATGGACTCTGCTGCATAAATAGATCTGAAGTATGCATTTATGTATTTATTGAGTGTATCTATATGTAGATTAGCTTCTGTTTTAAGCACATTTAACTAATTGATTGCTGGTTTTAAATTGTATTTGTATGTTAATTTATTGTAAATCGCCCAGAGCTCTGTGTACTCAGGGATGGGGTGATTCAGAAATTTAATAAATAATAATAATTCCAGATAAGGTTTGTTGACTTACTTGTCTGTCTAGCATAGGACTAAGCAAGGTATAAGAGATCTGCCCCTCGCCACAGTTTCTAGTACTTTTTTTTTTTAACCAGTGTCTTGAACATCTGTATGACAGAAGCGCAGCTGGCTGGGGAGCAATGCCATAAGGAATTAGGGCTGGTTTCTCTGTGAGCACTGACTCAGGAAAGCTGCCGCTAAAGTCCATTTTGTTAAAGGTATCCCTGTTTTGTTCTGCTGCTACAGCCAAACCCAAAACCCAAATCCACATGATACCCTTCCTATGCAGATTTACTCCAATCTAACCTGTTAATTTAGACTGGAGTAAATGTACCTAGGATTGCAATGGTAAGAGATGTAATAATCTTTCCATGCTTTTTTTTTTTTTAGAGCGAGAGAGTGTGAGTGCCTGGAAGTCATGGTTGACTTCTGGCGACCCCTAGTGGGGCTTGGACTTTCAGAGAGGTGGCTTGCTATTGCCTGCCCCTGTGTCTCAGAGCCCTGGTATTCCTTGGAGGTCTCCCACCCAAGTACTTGCCAGGGTTGGCCCTGCTTAGCTTCTGAGATCTGAGGAGATCAGGCTTGCCTGGACTATCCAGGTCAGGGCATCTTTCCCCTACCTGTATCGAAGAACACACACACACTCAGGCATTTATTTATTACTTTTTAAAACCCTGCCCTTCTCCCCAATGAGGACCCAAAGCGGTTTACATAGCTCTTGTTTCCTCTATTTCATCTGCACAACAAGACTGGCCCAAGGTCACCCAGCAAGCTTCCATGGCAGAGTGGGGATTCGAACCTGGGTTTCTCAGATCCTATTCCAGCAGTCTGACCATTACGCCACACTAGACTGACTAGAGGAAAGCATTGATTTTCTGAAGACGAGCATGGTATAGCGGCTCTGGAAGATCTGGGTTCAAATCCCCACTCTGCTGTGAAGCTTACGGGTGACCTTGTACCAGTCAGACGCTGTCAGCCTACCCTACCTCACAGGGCTGTTGGTGAAAGATAAATATGGAGGAAAGAGTTGCCATCTCTGGGTTGTGAAATACCTGGAGATTTTGGGGGTGGAGTCTTTGGAGGGCAAAGTTTGGGGAGGGAAGGGACCTCATCAAGGAGTCCACCCTCCAAAGAAGCCATTTTCTCTAGGGGAACTGATCTCTGTAGTTTGGAGATCAATTGTAATAGTGGGAGATCTCCAGGCACCACCTGGAGCCTGGCAACCCTAATGAATGGGGAATAATATAAGGTGTTTTGGGTCCCCACAGGAGAGGAAAGTGGGGACTAAATCAGTAAAAATTAATGGGAAAGCATTAAAGCAAAAAGGATTGCTTACTTACAAAATGATCTAGGACTGTCTCTGAATGGCAGACCAAAGTCAAGAAGAACCACAATTTTTCAATGCCCCACATTAAAAGATAACCTCCCTGCAAGTTAAAAACCTAGTATCTCAGACCTCTCTGCCTCCTACATATAAAGAAAACCTCCCTGCAAGTAAAAAATCTAAAACCTCAGGTCACCATGTACACCAGGCATACATCAGCCTAACTTACCCCATGGACAGCCCGCTGTTGCCCTGATCCTTGGAGGAAAGTAACACATAGGCTGCAGTCCTAAAAACACTTTCCTGGGAGTCAGCCCCACTGAATAAAATGGGACTGACTTCTAGATAGACTTACTTAGGATTGCTCCCATAGTAATGGAATAGGAACTCCATATGGATGAATCCACATTATTATTTTTAATTAATATCTTATTGCATTTTCTCAACAAAAAATACACAAGAAGGTGGTGCAGTGTAATATAGTACAATAACAAAGGTACATCTATAATCTGTAAGTTAGCCAGAAATAGAAATGGTAATGTAGAAAATAACATGCAGTAAGTCAAACATATTTGCCCTGTTTTCCTTTTCATTTGCCCTGTTTTCCATTTTAAACCGTATACTCAAGGTACCTAAATATCTTTTACCGCAACATTCAGAATTACCACAGAGAGTATCAATTACAGCCGGAACATCAGCATGTTCTGCCAGGTATCCCATAATAGGAAACAAAGTTGCCACAAAGTTAGATGGAGATGATTGGGAGTATGGAGGGGCTGTGGCTCAGTGGTAGAGCATCTGCTTGGCATGCAAAAGGTCCCGGGTTCAATCCCTGACATCTCCAGCTAAAAGGTATGGCAGCACGTAATTTGAAAGAGAAAGACCTCTGCCTGAGACCTTGGAGAACCACTGCCAGTCTGAGTAGACAATACTGACTTTGATGGACCGAGGATTTGATTCAGTAGAAGGCAGTTTCATGTGTTCACCTAGTGGAGAAAGGAAATGAACAAGACAGTGAGAAATAACACTTTGCATTTATAGAGCACTTTCAGTGTCCAGTGTCCAGTATGATCTTAAACCCTACTACCACACAACACTAACTACTTTTTGAATGTCTTTTTGGGTCTTTTGCATGCCTTCCTGTTACCTCTGCATTCAGGAAGGCATGCAAAGCAGTCTTATTTCAAAGGGCATCGGGGAGAGGATAAATGGTTTTTGCAGATCTAACTGTGCTTTTAGATTGTGTGTTTTTTATCTCGCTGTTCAATTGCATTTGATGCATTTACAGCTTCTTGTGGTTTGGTAAGCCGCCTGGGCCTAGCATCCGAGGAGATAAGGCAGGATACAAAAATATTTTAAAGAAATCAATATTTTGATTACAAATCCTTACACCAGCCTTATAAGGAAGGCCAAAATTAGCCTTCCCCTACCTGGTGGATTATTTCCAGCACGTTCGAAAATGGATACTGATTGTTTACGGATGTTTTTATGTATGTTTTTAATTGTATTTATATATGCATTTTATGTAAGCCACCCTGAGCTTGCCTTGGCGGGAAGGGCGAGGTATAAATCGGATAGATAGACAGACAGATTATGGGTGAGAAATGGAAGAGCTGAGAGGCTTGTCTGAGACTGGTTACATCAGTTCATGGAAGAGTGAAGATTTGAACACATAACCTCCCAGATCACCTATTTCTCTTAGTCATTACGCTAAATAACTACTCCTGTGACAAAAGCTGTAAAATGAGTCAGAATACAGGGTCAAACATTACTGGGCCTGTGATTTTCAGCAGAGAATGTCAATGGTAGCACTGATGCAATGAAATGGCTTCCCCAGAGCTTTAATCCTGTGTGCACTTACTTGGGAGTAAGCCCCAATGAACTGTAGTTCTGAGTAAATTACATAAGATCAGGCTGCAGAGGGATGCCAACCTCCAGGTGGGACCTGGAGATTTCCCCAGAATCACAGCTCTTCGCCAGACAACAGAGATTACTTTCCCTGCAGAAAAGGGACATTTTTGGAGGGTGGACTCTGTGGCCTTGTACCCCACTGAGGGCCCTGCCCTCCCCAAGCTCCACTCCCAAATCTCGAGGAGTTTCCCAACCTAGATCTGTCAACCCTCCCTGCTCATCCACTGCCAGTGACCAGGGGGGGGACCTGGCCACCTTAGCCCTATTAAGGTTGTAGTCCTGTGTGCACTTGAGTGTTCTATGCTATCAAGTCACTTCTGACTTATGGCAACCCTACGAATAAACGGCCTCCAAAAAGTCCTGTCATGAACAACCTTGTTCAGGTCTTGCAGACGGAAGGGCTGTGGCTTCCTTGATTGAGTCAATCCATCTCCTGTTGGGTCTTCCTCTTTTTCTGCTGCCTTCAGCTTTTCCTAGCATTTTGGTCTTCTT